CCCCAAAACCCCAAAACCCCAAAACCCCAAAACCCCTTTTTGATTTGATTAAATTGAAAAAGATTTAATCACTTATTTCTAGAATTTCTACAAAGATAATCATTTAAAAGCATTTTTGTATTTGCAAACACAAAGTTACAATGAATTTTAAGCAAATTCATAATGATTACAGACTCTTACACTCACTGCATTCAATATTTGATGACTAATACTTCACAGCAAGCTGAAAATCCAAATGATTTACTATAGTAAATTTCTAAGATAATAATACAAGTCTATATGAATATGCCGCAAGCCAAGATCTCATAACGTATCTGACTCTTTCAACTAAAAGTTTCCAAAACCTTGGTAAGAGCTGTAAGCTCTAATTTAGCTTAATCATAACTGTAACGATAATTGAGAGGAAAAGACTCTGTGAACATCAAGCATTCCAAGATTGGGGTTCAATGAATAACTACAAAAATGCCAGCTGATGGAGTTTACTACCACCAGTACAAATTCCCTTAACAGCTTACTACAGTTGGTAAAACCTCTGTGCTATTGGACAGAACAAGTATCTTCAAATCAAATTACACCAAATGTTTATTTAAACCTGCTTAACTGTGCTTGCACATGATCTCTTTCAGCTTCCTTCCTAGATCTAGCCTGCCCAAATCTCTGAGCTTCTGCTGGCTTCAGGCTAGAACGAAGAGGCTGGCCCACTGTACATTTGGAAGAATGGGTACCTTGGACTGGAGCGGCTGGGAGAGGTCTGAGAGGAGATTTTGAGGCTGGGATAAGAGGGATTTTGGGAGATTTGACTGGGAAGGATGGAAGATTTGGAACTTTTGGAATTGGGGGTTGAGTAAGAAGGTTGGTTTTTGAGGGGTTAAGTTTGGATTTGAGAAGTGGGGTTTTAGGGGTTGGAGAAGAGCTTTGGGCTTGAGAGGGAGGGGATTTGGGGAGAGAATAATCAGTTTGGGATTTGAAAGAAGTGGATTCTGGTTTTGAGACCTTGGTTCCTGGTAGCTTACAAGAAGCTTTAGTTGTGGATGAAGTTACATTAGTTTTAGAGGAAGAGGCCTGAGGCTTAGGAATGAATGAATATATTTTTGATTTAGGTTGATGAACAGAAAGTTGGTCAAAACTAATTTCCTCTTCATATAATATAGGGTGAACTGTTTTAGCTGGGGAAATTGTCTTTCTCACAGGATGAACTTGGGAAACTTCAACTACTCCCTGAGATTCATGTGATGCAATCTCCAGACTTGGCTCAACAATAATATACTCTAGCATCTGGGGGACAACTTCCTGAGGTTCTATCGCCTCTACTTTCACAGGCTGACTAGGAACCTCTCACTGTTCTCTCTGAGTCTTTGTCCATTCATCTGCAGAATTGGTGCCATTGATTGGAATATATCCTTGTCTCCACCACTGTTCCGGAATTTCATAGTCTTCCAGCTCAGGGATGTAATCTGGAGTTTTTCGCCAATCCAGTGACTCTCAGTCACCGTAGCTGTCTTTGTTATGACAGTGGTGATGGACAACTTTGCGTCTGTCGTCAGGAGCCAGGTGGTCTGGCTCAATTGTTCGTGGCCCTTCAATTGCTTGCTGAGTTGGATTTTGTTGCGCTTGAGACTTTGATTGTTCATGAGCTGATTGTTGGTATATTGTGGATGGTTGTGTCTGGGTAATGTTGGCAGCTCTGTGAATCGGATTGGACTGTGCTGGTTTCGAAGGAGCCTGCTGAACTTGGTGCTTATGAATGGGTCTATATCATTGATGACGAATAAGCTGTGAGCAAGTCTCACTATCAGAATACTTACTGTACTGACTTGGTTTGGGTCACACTGGTAATTGAATCTGGGACTGGGTTATCTGCTGGTGCTAAGATGATTCTCCTTGGAACAACCTGAGGTTCAGTTTGTGATCCAACCTGATTCAGCTCTGGTGTTGAAACTGGAGTGAGTTCTAGAACTGGTATTAGCTTCTCTCCTGGAGCAAGAGTTATTCTTGGAGCTACCATCATTGACTCGTGTTGTTCGTTTTGTGTTTGTGTCTGAGGTTTTGTTGGTTCTGACTCAGGATGAGCCTCTGGCATTTCTGAAATATCTTCTGGCTCTAGTACATGATGGAAATCTACAACAGGCTCTAGAATTTTATCAGAAACTGGTTCAGTCTGAGCATGTACTTCAACTTGTGTGGTCGACTGGGGTTTAATGTTAATACTAGGGTGAACATACAAATCAGGATGAGCTTCAGCATCTACATTTACCTCATCCTTTATTGAATGATCAGCATCAGTATAGGCTTTAGCTTCCAAGTGAGAATCAACTTCTTGATCAGAATCAGTTTGTGTTTGGATATTTACCTCTGCATCCGCTTCTGTATAAACAGGTATTATTGGCTGAGGTTTGTCTGCTGATTCAAATTTCCTGGTTAGTCTAACTTGTTCTATTGGTTTTATTGATTGGAGTGGTTCAGACATTGCTGGGATTGTACTCGGCCTCGTAGGCATCTCAAAGATCCTCGGAACACCAGAGTGGTCATTTGGGTCAATCGTTGTTGCAAAGATCTTACCTGGCTCTGTAATTCCGATAGGCTGCATTCTTGGCTTTGGTTGTATTGGTCTATTCGAGGTAGTCGTCAAGTCATCGTTCAGAATTATCAGGTCACCATTGAATCCAGATGGCTCCATTTGTAATGTGAGTTCGGTGTCAGAACTGTGTATGTGTTTAGAGTTATTTTGGCTTGAGTCCCACTCAGTGGCTGTAGACTCTTCTGCTTGAGCAGACTCTGGAGTTGTGGTACCGTAAGCAATCATAGAAGGAGTTTTAATTATGGTTTCTTCAACTTCTCCACCACCTCTGAAATCAGTAGAATCTGTAGAATAATGAATGCTTGCAAGGTGTCCACTAACATTACTCGCTGCTGTCTCAGTGTGAGAAATGGATTCTTCAGCTAACTCAGATGCTTGCTGTTCAACATGGTGTGCAGCATGCTCTTCGTACTGTTCTTGTGAATGTTCTTCGGAATAATGTGGGATTCCAACATCGCTTGATGATACATCCTCAGAACTAAAACCAGACTCATGAACAGATCTTGCTGAAGATCTGCTTGAGATACTTTCTTCATCGCTCGCTTCAGTATTGGTATCGCTGTTTGCTGAGTCATCATGCTGGCTTCCTGAACTCACATTGAGCACCTGCAATATCTTTTCATGGGTCGAGTGGGTGGGTACTTCTTTGAGAACAACGATTCCTCTCTTAGTCACGACCAAGAACGGAACCGTCGTCACACCATACGACTCCTGGACCCCTCTGAGGTTCTCATTGCTGATGTCTACCTGTATGAGTGCAGCATCATCAGAAATTTCTTTCTCGATCTCGGCCACTCTCTGGTGTGATGCAGAGGGTTCTTCAGCACCACTGAATATATGAGTTACCGAAGAAACCACTCCAGATAGAAACCCGCTACCAGCTTGATCAGCAGCAGAGCTATCAATGAAGAGAAGGGCAACAGTGTCATCTTGGTTGAGTTGGAGGAAGCGGTTGACATCTTCAAAGCTTTGGGCAACTTCGATTTCTGACTTTACTAAAATTCATAGAATTATCACTAGTATTATTGTCTGTAGAGCTTTCATCTTACCCATATCGAATAAAAATAAATTATTTTGCTATCTTTTTATTTACAAAAGGGGTTTTGGGGTTTTGGGGTTTTGGGG